CATGTATAATACGTAAATATCTAAATTAATCACTTATAGTTTGTACCAATCCGTATTGTATGCATACTAATGTCATATACTAATCTACGATATCATAATAAGACAATAAGTATTATTGTTTTTATAATATATACATTTTAAAAGGATAAAGAGAAAAATTGTAAAAGAAATATATCACATTGATTTATGTTTAAAACACATTTAACGACAAAAACTTTCTTTTTCAAACCGACAATGTGGACACTATTTGAGGATGATTTATATTGTGCGAACATTTTATTATTTAGAGAATATTTTTTACATTTTATTGCAAAAGCCGTAAGACTTTAATATAATTAAGGTGTAGAACTACAACTCGTTGTATTTGAAACATAAAGTCGTTTTGAAGGGTTTTACATTTATTGGCTCGTAACAGTTTTAATTTAAAATATTACTAGAAAGCAATAAAGCATCCTGAGACATTATTCTGTCGCGGAATAATAATGAAAATTCTGGAGAATTGTAGAGTACAGCGTAGGTAGAAGACCTTTAATCAAGCTTAGGGCCCAAGGAAAAACGTACTCATCCCGAAAAATATTAGACAGGAATTTTTCCCTGAGACCCAAGCACCCAGGTGGCAAATGATCCTTAAACAACGCAAATACGTGATATACTCATTCAGTCCTGCAGGTGAATACATGCATATAATGGTAGTACACTTACGCGTACCACACCAAGCATGAATGATGAACGTAATATCATATACGTTGCATAACGTCACGAAAACTTTTAATTTTTTATATAATTTGTATAGAACAAAATATGATTTAATCAGTACTACTATACGATTTTATTGACACTGCATAGTAGACTTAGGTATATACCATCATAGTTTAATTGTATATGCCATCTACATAGATAAAATTATGATTTTCCTTTAAATCAAATCGTTGTTAGTTTTCATGTAGAATTTACATTTATAGAGAATTTTTGAACTAACCTTTTACTTAAAACTTTTTTACCGTGCACTAAACAATTATTTACTTACGAGCTTAAAACATTTATAATTAATGTTATCAGAATAGAATCCAAATTTGGTACGTCGTTTATCCATAGATAAAAATAATTGAAATTTATTAGAAAAGGAAGAGAACGCTTATAAGGACGCCGAACCAGCACTCGTTGTCTTCGTTTTTCAAACGCGTACCACATAAAATAAATCTGCGTTCAGCAGAACCATAATTTTGGCTTGTTATTATCATTAATATTTGAGCGATGCGTAAAGGTATGTATATCATAGGACACCTCTTGAGCTTTATTAATATGTTCATTTAAAAGCTAGTTAAGAGTATTAACATTTTTTAAAATATATGATAAACTTGATAATGAATTTTGAAATGGTCTCCTTGAACAATTTCAAAAAATGGACAAGTCGTATTGTTTCCCCAAGGTCTTCATATATAGTTATTATAACTCACCTTAAAAGTTTAATATTTTATAAAGTTATTACTTACTTAAAAATATTAAGATATCAATAAAATATAAATATATACATAAAAAATATCAAGCCTATATAAAGCGACTTATATATTCCTTTAAATTTGATAATAGATCAATCCACTCAATGTTAACAGTATACAACACTGGTTTTGCTGAATCCGAATTCGCTGTGTTGTAAGTTTCAACGACAACCCCATACGGGACTTGGGTGAGATGTCCTCTTGAGTTATTTATTCAAGCTGATTCAATACTGATGGGAAAATTGCATTTGTAATTTTCTTCGGAATCGATCAACCACAGGTTTGAATATGGTTTAATGGTTTCAGATGTTTGTTTTTTACCCTTCTCCGACGTATATATTATTTATATTGTAATTGCCAAGCAAATATTTGGAAAAAATGTACTTGGCCTAAGTCAACAAAACACAAAAATACAAAATCTTTAGTTTGTCAAAGACTTTTATTATTTTAACTGATTCCATATTCTACATATTCACATTTTTGCAGCGATGTTTAGGTATAATATACAAGGTTGATAAAAATACACTTTGTTCTATTTACATATTCAAAGAACAAAAAAAATATACTACACCATCATGTTTTTATATATACGTATTATACAAATATAGTGTTCGGGTATTAAAATAATACGTAATAATATATAATATAACAACGCATGTCTTATGGCTCTTACTTTGAATTCCATAGAAATAGAATATTCAACGTACCGTAAATTTAAAAGACGAGTGAGGTCTCTTTAACATGCAATACACATAAAAAAGAATAATTTATACTCGTATTAAAGATCTTCACCTGTGATCATGCATTTTGGCTGATGTTTTATATTATGATATCGAAGGGTGGGGCGATATATTATGTGTACGAGGTACCTATACGCTTCGAGATACACGGCTATGTTGTATAGTATTATACACTCGACACACGATTGTTTTCGTAAAATATAACTATACACATCACAATTATTATATACCTATCCACGAACCTATATATATGACTATATAAATATAGTATATTATATTATATGTATTCACTTTGTATTATTATTTTATTTTTCAAAAAAAAAATAATACGAACAAACCAACCATTCACGCTCAAAGTGCGTGCAGCATGCAGAGGGAGACGAAAAAAAGGTAGACCGTTGTAATTTCGGGACTGAGATTTTGGGTTCGCGTTTATAAATGTCTGTATGTGTGTGTGTGTGTTTGGAAATAGTGGAAATAACAACACAGACAATCGCACGCGAGCACCTATATAGTTTCTTTACCGCGAGTTTGAGAGCGTCGTCATCCGATCGATTGCATGCTGTGAGCTCGCTCGCGCCGTCGGAGCCGGCAACCCTCCCCGCCCAAATCCTCGCTCGACAACCCTCCCCCGTTCGGGCTATTTTTAACGCCGACTCTGTGTGCGTCTATATCTGCTCGCACGCGTATATACCCTCTCCGACTTAATGCCCGACCGCCGCCGCCGATTGTTATTGTGTACGAGCGTAAACGATGTTATATTGTATTATATACACGCGGTGCACATGGAGACAAAGAGTGATCGAGAGGAGGTGGAGGTGTAATGTTATACACACACAACAACACTCTCGTAAATGTGTGGGCGTGAAGGGATTTCGCGGGAAAAGAGTACGACGAAGACAAATCGTCTGGTCCGTCATCGGCGTGGCGGTGGAATATGGTCGGACGGCGCCGAGAGGGGGAAAAAAATTATGGGAGAGAGAAGAAGAAGAAGTGGAAAAAAAACGTTAACCGTGCAGACGTTTATTTGTTGCCGACGTGACGCGACGGATGCGGAGACGGGGCGGCATTAGTGGAATGAAAGTGTGCGCTGCTCGTTTGCGTCCAACTCTCCGAAGGATATTGTTGTTACGACAACCCGACTGCTACGATTATTATTACCGTTGTATTGTATTTATAGACACAATATTAAATTACTGCCGTACTAATATATATATATATATTTGGGTCACTGCACAGTCGAATGACGCACTCAGCGATCGACGAAGAATAATCCCGATGGGAAATAATAGAGCGAGTTACTTAGCTCTATATCAGGTATATAGACAGTGTTATCGAGTCCTAAACTTTTAACCAAAAACATAAAAGTTCGATTATTTATATGTTTGTTTATAAATATACATATATATATGTTTTTATTCAGAAAAGTCTGAAGAATTTATTGTGATCAAGAGTGATTGAAAGAAAAAAAAATAAGACAATTATTAATGGTCCATTGAGATTTTGATAAGAATATTGGGACGATTGTACGAAAATAAGAGGTATGAAGCAGCAACAAAATATTTTACAGATTTGAGTGATCTAACACAAATCGATAATGATAGAACTACGGAACACGGAAGCGAATTCGTTTGAGAGCCGAAGCCCGTGACCAAATCTATGGTAGGTATCCATGTAAGCAACAGACGATTTTACAATGAACCGTTTACATAATTCATCGGGTGACGAAAGTGTGGTGATCGTCATTTTGTGGGTCGCGATGCTGTTTCCGACAGGGTTCACTTAATGTAATGATGTGAGTTAAGTATAATTGTCGTAAGGGGATAGTGAGAGGAGGAGTTATGTATACGGCGATGCTCGTGGTATATAAATTACAAAGGCCGTTATCTTTTTATTTTTTATTTTTTTTTTTTTAAACAAATGTACCAAGCTTTAACACCAGATTTACTATACTGCCGACATAGGTAAGCGTGTAACTTTCACACGATAGATCGGGGAGTAATTATGGACGAGAAGTCCAGAGGAGCCCAACGATAAATCAAGCGTTGTTGTGCACATATATAACGTTTTTTCACCCACCACCCACACAACGTCGTGGGTGTACTGCAGGGATTTAAAATTCTCGATCGGAAACCATTGCTTTCGCTAGTGACGTATTCTGTTGTAAATCTTTTTTTATCAGTATGTGTGTATTAGGAACATGTCGTTTCGACGTTCATTCAAATACGCACCGCGATATAACCAGCTATCGACAGGAAGTAACAAATACACGGCAGTTGTTGTAAATGTACGTCTTTACAGATTGTCGATTTTGTAACGTCCGTGTCTTATAATAAATTGTGATGAATCCGATATCAACGAATAAATTCTACGATTTATTTTCAATTTGCACATTAATTTATTATAGTTTAACTTTAGATATCAGACATTTTGGACTAAACCAATTAGTCAATAGGTTAGACTTATTTTTTAAATGCAAAAGTGTTCCTGTTTAATATAAATATATGTTGTAAAAATTAAATAAAATTCGCATCAAATAATTATTTGATGCAACTAAAATTCAATAGACTATTAATTAAACAACTAATAGGTTATATTCACCGAGTTTCGCTTATATTATGTACATCTACAAGACGACTTTAAAGCTGATTTCATTCGAATAATTGATATCCTATATTATTATTGTTATTTATTAAAACACTGAAATATACATAAATCCGTATGATTTCACGGTCCAAACTAAAATATCGAAACAACTTACTACTGGGTTAGTAGACATGTTAATCATTCATACGCCCAATTAGACCGCACCTTGTGGGGCTAATGAAGCGTTCTTTTGTTTTGAACACCGATAGTTTTTGCAGGTAGCTTCTTCCCGATAATTGACCCGAATTTGTTGCTCAACGATCTAAAACACAACGCGTATGCAATAATTAGATTACATCTATACACTATACAGTATATCCCTTAAATACAATATTTATAAATGTTGGTTTACTGAAACTCGTACGATTGAGAGAAGTATTTACTATTAAGCCCTATCAGCGTTAAAATTCGTTTTATGTTTGATACATTGAATCGCCACCATCGTATAATATATTATAAAGAACGCCATTTCCAGTCTTCCCAATTACCTCTATACCCGTGTTATAATAATTATGATAATGTTATTTGAACATCGTTATAATAAAATACCTCAAGGGTCGCCAACCAGTCGATCTTTAGAGGCATATTGGTCGATCATATAAAAATTAATTATACAAATATTCGCTGATCACGTGCTTAACCTTAAACACTCACGTTTCTATATAAAACAAAGTACCTATTTACTAGCCAAGAAAAAATAAATACGATTTTCCGACGGAGAATTTATTATAAAATAAGAATTTTATTAAACAATTCATTATTATACGCTGCGTGTAATTTTTAAGTAAATAATATACCTGATTATAAGTAGTGGTGGATGACCAGATAATTGATATTTATAAAGTAGCTCACTTGTTGGAAAAGGTTGGCTAACTCTGTGATGCCTTATAAAAGAGTAGACGTTATTGTTTATGCACTTCGTGTTTAAATACTTCGCTTATTTATTATAATTTTTAATCGAAATGTGCTATATTTTTGCGTCGGTAATTTTTTCATGATAATTGTATTCAGAATTTAATTACATTATCCGGCAACCTTTTTTTTTATTTGTATTATAATTATTGTTGTTGTTTTGTTGTTGTTATTTTAACTATAATACTAAAATAATTGGACTGAAAACTAATCAATAAACTTTACATTATGTACGGAAACTGAATAAAAAAAACTCAGTAATTAAATTGAATACGGCGCATTGTGTATGCAATATTCGGGCAAATAATATGCTTAGAAGTCTATCAAATTCGGAACCGAATCACAACAAGAGCGAAGAAGTTTACAACTTATAATAACTAACTCTTAATCATAAACTCAATGGTACAATAATCATTTAAATAGTAATATTTGGCATGGTCGTAAATTCAAATAAAATTATTTGTTTAATTATGATTGCGTAGTATGCATCACAATATAATTAACAGTTATGATAATAATTAAATGAGAATTTAATAACTCAAATTGTTAGAGTTAAAAGATAATACCAAGGAATATGTTAGTTAGTAGTAAACTATATTTTTTAATTAGATACCATGGGCATTCAAAAAGTTAGTTACACGACTTTCTAATTTTTTAAATAATAAAATCATTTTGTTTATCATTTATTGGTACTCATTATTTTACTAAGAAATTGAATATTATTATTATTTTAAAAACATTTAATGTTGAATCTAATTTCCGACCCAGCGAGTCGTTGACAACTGTATTTGTCTATCAACGATAGTAATTTATGTACATATTTACGCTTATGCCTTATGACTTATATCATATACATAAATACATATACCATCATTATTTTATCTATAAATATTATGTGTAATATTGTTATATATACATATTACATAGTTAAGATGTCACATACCGTGGGGAAATATAAACAACGTTACCTAAAGGAAAAAAAACAGATTATTTTTTGATTTTAACTTTTCAAAGATTATTTTTAATTGCAAAAAAAAAAAAAAAAGTATTTCAGCAAAATTTCAGTGAGTTGAACACATTGTATGATAATGACGTGGTCAATTTGTTTTTTTAAATATTTTCTCCAAATTTAGATAAAAAGTAATATTATTAGACATTATTTTAATTTTATTTTTTATAATCAACGGTGTTAAAAACAATCGGTCCGTTTATAATACCAATGTTATTGGTTATTGTCGGCATGTATTTTATGCGTGAACATTGGATATTACAAATGGGTTAAACCGTTAAAGAGCATATTATTTGGTTGATATTTCAATAATTTATAAAACATAGGTACAGATGCATAAATAAAACGATTACGCTGTTGCCCGTTATACAGTTGAGTGCACTGTACGGCATAAAGAAATAATGCTACCACTTGAACGATGGGGTCGTGTAATAATAATATAGCTTTATGCGTATGTATAATACTTTACAGTTTACATTACCTATACTTATAATATAGCTACGGCTGACCAATTTACGTTCAGCAGAACCATTTTTGTTCAACGTCGTTATTATAGCAACTTTGATTTGCAAAATTTGTTTGTTTGACATTCGAGTGATTGGAGGACCTACCCCATAGAACTTAAAAGTAACAGTATTATTATGTGTGTTTTATGTCGGTTTTTTGTGATATTTCAATGTTTAAATGATTTATCCGCATTTGTGAATTATTGAAATATTTTACATAGGTACCCTACTTACATACTTAAACACTGAAATGTCATAATAAACGACGCACAACCAAACTATTGTTCTTAATTTAAAGTTTGATAATATGTGAATGCGCTCTGTTATCAACGTTAACAACAGTACGAGTGTGCGACACAAAATCGGTTCTGTTGAATTCAAATTTACCATGTTGTATGTTCGTAGGACGAAAACAACACATGCATGTGCAGTGACGTCATCTTGAACGTTGTTTGTTCCCCTAAAATGTTAATCTAGAACTGTCCTACTTTATTTGGGTCTTCAGGTAGGTACATCTGAACATAATAATATGCTCGTTCAACGTCGTTGGTTGGTCATGGTATAAACATGCCTCATCCTCCCCAAAAGGATTTACGTCACTCATACTATAGGGAAGTAGATTTTAATGGTTTCACAACCAACATTTTATTATTCTAAGCTTTTACATTATTTTCAATTAAATAATATTCATCAATTAGACACATTAAAAATGACAATTTTTTTCTTTTTTACAATTTATTATTTTAACTATTACCTATGTCAAATTTGCATTGAATTTTCGTTAATTGTTCATTTAGTAGACAACCTGTATAATTATAATGTGTAATTACTTTAGTCTTCCGATTAATTTTAAACGTCCGGTTTTTTATCTTCTTTTAGGAAAAAAGTCTAAAACAACTATAATGTGATGCGAAATTAACAAGTGTATAAGATTATACAAATGTATATATTATACTAAAATTGATTTAAAATAATATGTGTAATGTGTAATATATATTATATATATTATTGAAATAATATTCATTTTTACAAAACCAATATTTATCACTTTATACATATACCTAACCTTTCAAGTATATTATAAAATAACTTTTGTTATAAATTAATGTAATTTATTTTATAACTTATAGTTGGTGTCCATTATTTTTTAAACTTGAAATAGAGAAAATTAATAATAATATATAACAAAAATATACGTTGAATATAATAAGGAATAAAATGAATAACAAAATAGTATTTATATATTATCAAAGTTTTTTATTTTTATAGGTGGTTATAAATTATAATGCATCATATTAATGTAGTCATATTGTTTATTGCCAAACGTAGAAAACAGTTTATATAAATTCAAGTCAAATCTTCAATTTATGCGATTATCAATCATTAAAATCGCTTTATTTTTGTATTGTTCAATTTCAAAATCCATCATAAATATTCAAGAGGAATTGGGTAAATTACTTTCTCTCGGATAAATATAAAGATAACCGTTGGCTCGATTTATACGAAATAATTTATGGTAATAATATTTATGATTCAAACTCAGCGCAGCGTCTTTAATGATTTCAGTTACCTATTTTAATTTTACGTCGAACAATAATTAAAAATATAAAATATAATTTTCATATAACGATGTGAAATGGAGGTTGTATTATTTGTTTGTACACGTCTTTTTTCATGCACACTCTATAACCATACAAAACTAATACCTACATGTTTTTATGAATAATAAAAAAACGACTCTTTTAAGACTGTAAACAAATGTTTCGTATACAAACGTGGCTCGTAACTCGTTATGGCAACAAAGCGAATAACGAATTTTGTACTTAAAATAAATGCTGTGCAGATGAATGATTGAAAAAAAAAAAACCAATAAACAGCTTTTCGTGGTTGTGCAACCGTATATATTGTAGAACCAATTGACAGAAAAATAGTACGTGAGTGGTAAAAATAACAAGATGGGTAAATTATTAATAGTCAACACGACCACACCGCGTACTATTTGCAACAGGTGTAGACTTAGGCGCAAGACATATAGTGTTAAACGTGCGAGTTAAATAAAACGGAATTACATAATATTGTAGACAACTTAACAATTTGTATAATACTGGAGACTCAAAAATACGAACAATACGTAATCTCAAAATCGATGCGAAAATTATAATAATAATAATACCGAACGTTATATAGGTAAAGAGGAAACCATAACCGACGTAAGCTTTGTGTTTAGTCTTGCCAATGAAGAGCCTCGAGGTTATAGATTAATCGGGTTTACTGGAGCGTTTTCAGTTTGTGGGGTTTTATACGTCATTTTATTCTGGTCGATGATTAATATTTTCGGTGTACAATGGCTGCACGCTCGTCTCACAACGGACACATTGCCTTTTAAAACTTACCATGCGTTACACACCATAACGACGTCGAAACAATAAATAACAAACGAATAATAACTATACCCACTGTTCGGTCCAAATTTATATTCCAATATCCTACGGAGGTATGCGTATTGATTCAGAACGAAATAATAAAAATTCGAAGAACACGCTATATTCGTCCGGACCAAGATACAGCGGTGTACTTTATTATATTATAAATTTGAAAATAGGTGATATAATAAATCGCGGTGTTCAAAAACCAATTCACCTTGAAGCTCGGTCAATATCGCTTATGCTACCATTTTGTATGCTTATTTCGACGATCCTTGGTAGA